GAAGTTCATAGAATCTGGAGGCACTGATTAAAATCCTGGAAGAAAATGTGATGGAAAGACTTTCTATCTTCCTATTGAGACATTTAACCTAAAAGAAATGAGATAAATAATTTATACAGAGAACGAGTGAAATTTGCTTTGATCAAATTAAAAAATATGACTGTGGAAATAAAGTGTCCGCCGCCTCCCTTCTAGGTGGCGAAAAGAGCTGCCGAGAAACAAAATGACAAAGACATAAAAATAACTAACCCTAACCCGGCGAATATTAGTACCATATTTTTTGGGAGATTACATAGCATCACTGTGGGCCATGCAGAGAAATCCTCTCTAAGCACCAACAGGAGAGGTCTTGCTCATTGTGGAAGCCCCATAAAGACCAGAAAATGGATAAAATTTTCCTTTGTAAAAGCAATCTGACTTCGCACAGGGGTTGGCCCAGAAGCCTCAAGAGATCAAGTTAAATTTCCCACATGCACATTTCAAAAACAGAAGAAATCTGCTCAGCTCCCCACCTCAGCCTTGTGTTTCTTGAAGACAATCCCTGTTTGCAACCTGCACATATGCACATGTACATATGCACACACACTCACACTCATCCACTCTCAAGAAACATTGCGGATGAGTTCCAGGATTCCTGAGCAAGGGGTTAGCATGAACACCACCCACTTGACCTGTCCGAATTTCAGTGTGCCACTCTTCAAGGTAGACTCACCTTCCCTGGACAAGGTCATGGTGAGGATTCAAGAGGCCGGGCAGAGCTGGGGTTATAGCTCCGCAGCCCAAGTGTCTTTCTGGCTAGCACAAGGGCCTGAGTTTGATTCCTAGCACCAAAATAAATAAAATAAAATACTAAATGCTTTTTTAAAAAAGAGGGACCTAGCAGATAGGACACGTAGTGAGGGTTTGAGGTCCTCTTACCCCTCAACCTGAAGAAATGTCCAGCAGGTACAGCCTGAAATGCTGAAGGCCCTGACCTCATCCACTTCTCCTCCTGGAGAGCTGGGACAGGGGGCTGGGGGTGGGGTAGCATCAGTCCATTCCAAGTGAAAAAGTTCAATTTGAGGGGCACTAGTCCCATTGACTTGGAGCAGTCCCAAGTGACCAAAAACACGTAGCAAGGGCTTTTTTTGGTTGGTTGGTTTTGGCTTTTTGAAACAGGGTCTTGCTGTGTAGTTCAAATGTGGTCTTGAACTCACTATGTAGTCCAGGCTGGTCTCACCCATGTGGTGATCCTTCTGCATCAGCCTCCTGCGTGCTGGGATTATAGGCATGTGCCACCATGCCTGGCTAAAAGCAGGGAGTTTAAATTCTCTTTTTTTTAGTTGGTACCAGGGATTGAACTTATGACTGCACACTTGCAAGGCAGGTACTTATGCCACTGAGCTAAATCTCCAGCCCCTGGAGTTTAGATTCTTACAGAACCAGTTTCAAATTTTGGTTTCCCCATTACATAGCTGTGTGACCATGACCAAACCCTCGTACTTTAGCTCCTCATCTGCAAATTGAGAATAATGAAAAGAATCTCCTAGCATCGAGTAAAAGAAGGGATGTAAATGGGGTGTCTAACATGTTGTAAAAGTTCCATAAATGACAACAGTTACTATTCTGTGATGACCTTGAGAGAGACATTCAAGGTCAGAGTGAATTTTCTGTCCACTTTATTAGTTATGGTTTCTGATCCCCAGATAGGAGGAGGATGTAGCTGACCTCTGTTCTGCTTATACCATAGGAAGCACTATGTAGTTTGGAGCCACCTCTAATGGCTCTCTTGGTGGCACAGAGGAGGGGAACCAACGAGAAGGGAGTCACTCAACCACTGTTCGTGGGGCCTGGAGAGAGGACCCGGAAGGTTCGGTCAGGGAGACTGCAGGCCCAGGGAAAGGATGGCAGCCTGCCCGCTCCCAAAGGCCTGTCACTTGCCAGAGTCTGAACGTGAATGTGGGCTCCTATTGAAGCAGCTCTTGAATATTGAGCTTTGCAGCAGTGGAGAAATCGCTTCCAAAGGAAGTGAGTTTCCTGTCCCTGCAGGGCACGGAAACAGAGCTGGGGGTGATAACAGAGAAGCTTCCAAGGCCTACCAAGCCCTGCTCTAGGATCCCCATGCGGCTCTCAGAGCATGTCAGGAGGACTCACGCGCAGAACCTACCTAGCCGGCTTGATTTTGGGGTTTCTGCCCTTGTTCTCCCTGTTCTTTTGCTCTGTTCCTCCTATTTTTCACCTTTACGAAATTACCTTCTTTTCTCCCTACCCCATCCCTCTAAGGACCTTTGAGAAAAGCAAAGACCATATGGGATACAGTCTGTGCACGCTGTGGGTTTGTTTTGTTGAATGGTGTGAAGAGAAAGGGAGGAGATGTAGGTGATGGAGAGGCAGGTGATGTATGGGGGGAGGGACAGAAAACAGACATAAAGAGAGGGGGAAGCAAGAGACAAAAGGACGGATAGACAGAACAAGAGGGAAAGAGAAATCAGAGAGAATGCTGAAAGAGGAATATAAAAACAAAAAATAGAAAAAATTCAGAGGGAGGAAAGGAGGGAGGGGGAGAGGTGAGGGGCAGCCTGGATCTGCAGTTGTCTGGGAAGCCAGGTTGTGGGTGTGCCCAGGGCACACGTGTGTGCATACAGAGGTCTGGCTGCTGAGCCACCGTGTCAGTGCAAGTGTGTCAGCTGTGGGATGGGGATGAGCCCGCTTTTATCTCTTCTGGCTGCACAGGATTTACAAGCTTTTGAAATGCAGGATTAATAAGAAGAGGCCGGTGTTTTAATCTATAATGGAACAGAAAGTATCATTATTGTTAAATAATGCACAGCCTGTCGTTTATTAAGAATTAATGGTTTACTGAGTGCTCAGGTTGCTGCAGCGGCCTGTGCCCTCCCAGGCCTGGGCTCCTAGCCCCTGGCCTGGCCGTCAGGCCGTGCCCTCCAGAGCCCACCTGGCCACGGGCAGGCTGCAAGGGGAGCCTCAGTCGGCTCCTTCCTGTCAGAGTTTGGCCTATTCTTGGTCTTCCCTTGCAGGGTTTGGGGGCAGAGAAGGGTGATGGGATGAAATCCTCACTTATTCCTTCAACTCAGATCCATCCAGGACTGAGGAGACTGATGAAAATGTCGTCACCACACGAGGCTTACTCATGCCTCTGCTTTCTAATCTCACAAAACTCAGCTCCGATTTCTTACACCAAGTCCTCTGAAAGGGGTGACAACACACACACAGGAGGCAGAAGGTGCCCTCTCTCCTCCTCCTCCCGTTGGGTCTAGGAGCATGGAACACACATATCCCAGGAAACATGAGTGCCTGCACGGGCCAGCTGGTCCCAGCAGGAGGGAGCCACCTTTACCAAGAACTTTCTCTGAGCCAGGTATCCTGCGAACAGCACCTCACTGGCTCTGTATTACCATCCCGACATGGTCTCTATCTCACCGATGGAAAAACCAAAGACTGGGGAACAGCTGCCCAAGGCCACCCCACAGATGGCAGAGTCGAGCTGTTCTGCTTTATTCTAAAGGTCTTTCTACTCCACATGTTGAGGTACCAGTTCTGGCTTCCTCCATCATCTCAAGGTGGATGTCTTCAAGGAAAGCACTTGAGAACTGCTGTGGGGTCTCTGCATTTGATACCTGGAGCTGCAACTGTAATGGTGCACCAGCAACAACAAATCCAATGTATTCACCAGTGGGGAAACTGAGTCACAAGCCCAGGAGTGGCTGTCAGGGATGGCAACGAGGCGCCTGACATCTGGGTAGCTTAGCATGGCAGCTAAGACTCCATCCTGAGGCCTGTGACATGGAGCTCCCTGACCTTCCGCATCACCAATCTGTATGGTCTGGGCCTCTGGAAAGAAATAGCCAGGTCCAGACACAGAAGTTACGTGTCCATCAGATCTGAGGCAGGAATTAGAGCTGTGTGGTCCTGGGCAAGTTATTAAGCCTCTGCATCTCTGCCACGGCAATAGTCCTTGCTTCAAAGGACTGTTGCAAATGCTGAATGATTATTGCAAGTCTTCCACATCAGATGGTGGCCCTGGTGTCACCTAAGGGAGCACACTCCCAGCACCCATGCCACCCGCCCTGCCCTATTCATTCGTCCCACAAATAGCTGGGGGCACCAACTATGTGATAAGCGCATGTCCCAAGAGCCTAACACTGGCCGAGCTCCGCGCTACACAGAAGTGGGCGTGGTCTGAAGCCCTGCAGAGGCCCCGCCCCCTCCGGATCACCCTCCTCCCCTGCCTGCCCCGTTTGCCTCCTGCTCAGTCCTAGCCCGGTTCAGTTCCTCACCACCACCTTCTACCTACAGCAGTGTCCCTAGCTCTGCTCCCCGCACGGCACCCCCTCCAGGCTGTCTCTGTGCCTGCTCCTCACCTCGCTCCATCCTCCATTCCACTCCGGCCTCCCCTGGCCTTTTTCCTTTTCTCCTTCCCTTCTTACTTTTCTCCATCCTCACGCTCCGCTCCAGCCCACCTCACCCCCATCTTCCCGCAGTCTCCATCCCGGTTCCCACCTTTCCTTGCCTGTGATTCCTTGACCCCACCTCCATCTCTCTCCTTCCTCATCCCCACCCCAGGACTCCTCCCATTCCAATTACAGAGGTCCGGGGGTCTTGATGGAGGAAGGGACACTGCCCCCAGAGGCCACTGCGGGGAGGTGCATTCCAGGGGACGGACCCCAAATTCCCCAGGGCTGGTGCAGGCCCCAGCACCTGCTGTGGGCAGAGTCTCCCCATTGGCTGCGGTGGGGAAGGCGCTGACAGAGCCTCAGGCGAGCTCCGCACTCCCCACCCCCAGTGTCCCTCTCTCCTCTGGGCGGGCCACCACGCTGGGACCTCGGCCCACAGCCTGGCTCCTCACGCGGCTGCTGTTTTATTAACCTGCCTGTCGCTGCTCTCACCACTGAATGGGGCCTGTGGGGGGGCCTAGAAGGGGGGCCCTGGGCTTTGCCAGGGATCACCATGGAAACAGCAGCCTCGGCCAATCAGCAGACAGGCAGCACAGAGTGCAGCGGGCAGCTCGGTCTCCGAAGCCTCGTGCAGCCCGCAGGCTGACTCCTGCCTGACAGGCCCTGCGCAGCCCCTGCCTGCCGAGGGAGAGGAGAAAGGGGGCGGGGATGAGACCCTCGGGGAAGAGGCCTTGGCAGCGGAGTGGGTGTCACGGAGAGCGAGGCCAGGGGCGCTGAGCATTGGGCTAGAAGATCAGGAGAGGCCAGGGAACACTTGGCGTGGGCATTTGGACATAGGACATCAGGGACTGTCTGGGGATGGGGGCCGAATTTCTCCCCAGCTGCAGTTCTCTGTCTAAGCCAGGATTTCTGGACCTCAGCACCACTGGCATCTGGGGCCAGGTAACGCTCTGTCATGGGACCTGCACCTCACAGGGCATCAGCTGCATCCAGGATTCTGCCCACTAGGAGCTCTCCCCTCGATCTTCCCAACGTCACCAATTGTCCCTGGGGAGAGGTGGACCAAAATTGAGTCTGGTGGGGAGCTCCTGGTCTAGGTGCTCACAGGCCAGCAGTCACTATCTGAGTTGCTGCCTCTGAACAGCGTCCCTGAAGAAGAAATGCCAGACGTGGGCGTGGAAGAGGAGGAGGAGGCTGGGGTCGTGCAGGGTTCAGGCAGAGCCTCTGGAAGCAACAGGAAGGAGAGAAACACTCCTGGGCCCTGATGGAGCTGCTGATTTGTACTTCGAGGATTAAGTAAGTAAGGTCTATACCCGAATTTCTGAGGGAGACTCCTCCTGTTTGTAAATCATCCCCAGCATTCTCCTGCTGGCTCACAGTACACACCACATCCAGGAAGCCCACTCTGATTCTCATCACATCAGCATTTTCTTTTTCTCCAGGACTTCTTGGCACTTTGCCTCTGCTGAACATGGCTTCGCCTTTAACAACAGTTGCCCTATTGAAGCCAGGGTGTCATGGCATATTCTAGGAGGCTGAGACAGGAAGACTGTAAGTTTGAGCCCAGCCCTGGCAACTTAGCAAGGACCTGTGTTTTTAAAATTAAAAAAAAAAAAAAGTTCCTTACTGAGGTTTCCCATGTTTTAGAACCTAACAGCTTGAAGCACATTTCCTTACTTAATCCTCCAGCTCCATGAGCTAGGTGGACCATTTTACAGACGAGGAAATCAAGGATCAAGTTAGGAAATTTTACACATTTTACAGATGAGCCAAGGCTCAGTGTCACTTGCCTGGTTAGGAGTACCAAAGTGCAGGTTTCTAACCCTTGACTTGTGCTGGGCATGCATCCTCCCACCCTGCTATATTCAATGCTCAGCACATGCTGGTAACAGGTGCCTTTGAGCTATTCAGTCTCTGAGAAGTCTGAGTGGGCAGCTAGGCATCAGGCTGGACCTGAATGGGCAGCCCCAGGGTGCTGGGCCTCTTAAAGGCAAGCAGGTTTTGCTGGTGTGGTTTAGCTGTGCTAGCTCTCTGATCGGCCAGTGCCACCAGGCCACATGTCAGCCACACCTCCTCACTGGGCCACCTCAGTCTCCAGGACCTGACTGTCCTTCAAGCTCATGGATGCTGGGCCATGGCCCCCCCCTAGTGGCCAAAGGGCCACGATAGCGTTGGCGGTGGTGGGAGTCAGATTGGAGATCTTAGCCTCTTGGGCTCCTCTCTCAGCTCTATTCTTGGGCTCCAAGGCAGCTTCAGGAGGTTAGAGCCAGAGGGAGACCTCACGTCACTGTCCCTGTGGAGTCTGGCCCTTAACCTAGGCCTAAAGGACAAAGCCAACCCCCACCTCCCTTTTCCTCCAGCCCCAGGGGAGAGATGGTCTCGGCAGAGGGCTCCATCCCGGCTCCCCCAACACTGCCTGCTCAGATTCCACCCCCTCGCTGCCTTACATTCAGCAAGAGAGGGCTTGAGGCTGAAGGGTGTCTGCCAGGAAGCATCTCGTGATGCCACTTCCTGATCAGGTTAGGGTTTTGATCTGGAATCCAAGAGCTGGAGTCCCAGGGGGCTCAGATCAGACCTGCTCCCTGCACACACCACCCGCCTCCCCCAGGAACCTGCAACACACCACTTCGCCTTTGAAGGCAGGGCTCCTGACAGGCTGCCGTTCCCATGGCAACCCCATCCCAGCCTGCCCTACCCAGTGCGCTTCCCTCCACCCCCTTCCTCCACCCTGAACCCATATCACCTTCATTCACAGAATGAGAACTGCTTCCCACCAGCAAAGTGGACACCCCTTCCCCCATCCTCTCCATCTCTTGTGCTTTCTCCCTCCTCTCATTCAATGGACACCCACGAACCACAGAGAAATGAGTGGGAAGAGGGTACAGGGACAGGGCTGCATGGGGGCAGATGAAGGATTAGGGGAGAAATGGGAAAGAGCCATGGCTCAGCACACCCCACCCCAGCATGGCCCCCCAAGGCCAGACCTCTGCCCCTCTAGTCTCTGCTCTCCCAGTTCATGGCTCTGAGCTTCACCCATCCTCTGCAAAGACCCAAGACCCAGATAGGTTCCCTAATGAGCCCCAGCCCCAATCCACATCGGACCAGGTCTCAGCTTCCAGGCCCAGGTTTTTTCCCCAGCACCAGCCGAACTTACTCAGAGGCCAGGCACAAGGGCTGGGCCCTAGACCTCAGCCCAGAAGCACCAAGACTGCCCCCAACCCTGGCCCGGGGCCCCGCCCCCACAAGACACCATCTTGTGAGGATGGCTGGGGACTGAGAGACACCAGTTTGCAGTGGGACTGTGGGAAGGGCCGGAGAGGAGTCTCACACCCCAGCCGTGGCTAAACAGCAACTCCTCTAGCTGGGAGGACTTGGCTTTCAGGGCTTTGGCAGGTGCTGTTGGAAAGTCAGGAAGCAATGGTCAGTCGCTCAGACTCAGAATCCACCAGCCTGGGCTTGAATTCTAATGTCCTCATTCATCCATTGTGTGATGCTTACCTTCTCTGAGCCCTGACCTCCGCCTGGAAAACGGAAATAGTCATTACACACAGTAAGTGACTAACACTGAGGAGCCCTGCATCCCTTCAGGCCCAGCGCTGGAGACCCATTATTTCATTTAAACCTCCTGACAGCACAGGGAGGTAGATACTATTACTGTTATGTCTGTTCTACAGAGAGGAAGTGGAGGCTTGAGACTTCAAGTGGGAGTGGAGAGCAGAGCTTTACATGGAGGCAGCTAAGCACAGGTATGCCCAGGGCCCGGCTCCTTTGGGAGCCTCTGGGACCCAAGCTGTGGCTTATGTCTCCCTTGCTTTGCTCTGGGGACACACAGCCCCACTAGCAACCCAGACCGTGTGCCCACCGGGCAACACCAAGGAGGGGCCCAAGCTCCGTGAGACAGGGCATGTGGGGGCACTGATGGGGAAACAGCTGGCAGGGCTGTGAGCCATGCCCCAGCCAGCGCGTCCAGGAGGAAGTGACTCGCCAGCTTCCCTCGGTGGGTGGATGCACCGCTCGCCCCCCACCCCAAGGTCCGCAGCTTTGAAATCCACGTCGTCATGGTCAGAAGCCTGGGGGCTTGCAGCCCCTGGGGTAGTGTGGGGGTGGAGACCCGGGGAATCGGCCTCTCCGCTAGCGGGAGCTGTCCGGGCTGGAGCCTCCGGACTGCCCAGGTGGCCCCAGCCCCGGCTCTCCCGCGTTCCCCTCCCCGGAGGCTGCGGTCCCCGAGCAGCCCCTCCCCTCCCAGAACCTCCGCGCGGGGCCGAGCTTTCGCCCTCCCCCACCCCCCACCTTGCGAGAAGGAGCCGAACAAACAGCATTGTTCGCTCACACAATGGACACAAAGAACTTGGGAATTCACAGAATGGTCCTGAATTTCAGCTTCCTTCCCCTCCAAGCCCCAGAGAGATCCATTGTCTGTAAACTCCACTTAAAATATGCACCACTGCTCCAGCTGGGGGGCCACTTAAGACGCGTGGAAGAGCCTCCCCTCCCCCTCCCGCTCCCGCCCAGGTCTAGCCGAGCCCGGAAGGCAGCTGGAGGCGCAGCCGCCGCGAGGCCCTGCCTGGCATGAAGCTGGAAGCAATCCTGTCCCCGCAGGACCACTCAAAGGCCCACTTTGGGTGGGTTCAGGGACCTGCTCCGCTGGGGGTCTGCTAAACCGAGTAATTTAGTGCCGAGAGGAAGTCGGTTTACACACCCCCAAGGACAGGGAACTCACTACCTTCGGTTTACACACTTCCAAGGACGGAGAACTCACTACCTGACAAGGCGCTGTCCTGTTCCTGAAAAGTATGCTGTTCCCGTCTTAGTAAGAAAGAGCCCCGCCCACTCCCCTGGGGCCCTGTCCTTCACTTCCAGCTCAGGCTCCCCTTAAGGTCTTCCTCCGGACTTGTGACAGGCTCCTGGAATTTGAAGGCCGCCAAAGGATCCCCTGGGGTCCCTGCCCATATCTGAACAATTCTTCCTTTTCCAGACACCGTTAACTGATGTCTTGAGTCTTTCTCTCCATCCTCTTCCCCTCCTAGGTGCTGCCCTATTGTGTCATTGGGACAGGGTGGTGCCTAGAGATGAACCCAACGTTCAAAAATATTTATTCAGCAAGTTATCTGTTAAAGGCCTTCCAGGCACTGGGCGCGGTGCTTGGAGGTAGGGATCAGAAAAGATCCCAGTTTGGGGTGTGGTGAATCACCTGTATCAGCCTAGCGCTCTGGGACTCCGAGGCCTGAGGATGTGAACTGCAAACTCTGGGATTAGGGATGTAGCTCAGCAGCGCAGTGCCTGCCTGGCAAGTGCAAGATCCTGAGTTTGATTCCTGATACCCACCCTCAAAATAAATAAATATAAATATAATTAAAAACTTAAAACTCAGCCTGGGAAACTTAACATAGTGAGGCTCTGACTTTAAAGAAAAGACATAAAAGAGATTGCTGGGATGCAAAGACCCTGGTTCAATCTCCAGAACAAAAACGGAAGAGGAAGAGGAAAGGGAGGAGAGATGAGGGGCGAGGGGAGGACCAAGAAAGACAAGAAAGAAGAGGCCAACTCTCCTGAGGTTTGTAATTCTGGTAGGGAAGGTTGGATACTAATATCAGATAAGCATGGGAATCTGACTGTAAGAACTTGGTAAAATGAAAACATGTGACGCAACAACCTGATCAATGTGGAAGGGAGAGAATTAGCCCACCCCAGGCTCCTGAGAGAGGAAAGGATAGGGTAGGATTTAAGATGTGGGGAAAGACTGTGCAAAGGCCCTGTGGCAGAAAGAAGATGACCTAAGAATTTGAGAGACTGAAAGCCAGTGGGGCATGATGGTGGGCTTCTAGGCCTGTGAAGAGGTTGACATGATTCTAAAAAGCAATGGAAAGACACATGCATTTGTGCAATAAAAGCTAATGTTTGCCTTAAAAAGATACAGATCCCTGGAATCACTGAACTGAAAGCAGTTCCTCCAAGCCTTCGCACTTGCTGCTGCTTCTAACTGGGGTGCTGTTCCCAGGTTTTTCTGAGGTTGATATATTCTCATTTGTCAGGTCTTTGTTCAGGCCCCCCAACTTCAAGACGCTCTCCCTGAATATGCTGTCACACTCCATTCCTTCAGCTTATTTCATTATTTTTATAATATGTCTCCATCTGAAATTCAATTATTTATTTCTTTGCCTGCTGGCTGTTACTCTCGCCCCTCACTGGAAATTAAGCTCTTTATGGTTAGACATTTTGCCTAGTCATTAAATTTGCATGCTGTGACTCTATTGGTCGAATGAAATGAGTCAGGAGGCAGGGATGCAGAGGAGCAGAGGACCAAAGTGGCCCTGAGAATGTCCCCAAGTGGCCTCCATCCACAGCCCCAATAGGGAGCAGTGGACCAGTTCACTAAAAGTGCCCCCCCCATTCCCATCACCCACCCTTTCCGAAGCTCTGTTTGGGAGAGAGAGAGAGACACCTGAGGACAGGAGATCTGTCACTTAGTGGTGGCCACACTGGTGGCATAGCATCAGCACACAGTAGGGTGTCAATAAATAGTAAATGAACAAATTTCTGAATGCACTCCAAGGTAAAAGAAATGATGTTTGTCCGCACAGACGCATATAGCAATGAATAGAAAGCCAA